TCCAATCTCCAGCCTTTCTTAATCAAATATAAAAGGCCACCTCCATTATACACAGTCACACACATACGTGTTATATACTGTTAATTTCAGGCAGAGTAGTTGAGCTTCAGTCTAAACTTTCTTAAAAACTCTTTGTCCTTACATATAACAACCTATAGCTTTTTTTTTTTTTTTTTGGTATCCAAAGATGTTTAAACCAGTTTGCAAACACCTTAACTAGTCTTTCGAGGCTCTAAAGTTAACAACCAAGTAAGTCTCCAATAGTTATACCTTATTAATAATCGTAGAGATTCAAACTCAAAACCTCTTGAATAATACACTCAAGAATCCCAAGCGAACCGCCAAACTGCTGGAGGTAATTCACAAACTATAGTCCTATTCTATAATAAGAGTAAACAACTTTTTCCCACCTAAGGTTTGCCTTAATGACACTATCCCACTAATAAAGTTTTAAAATACCACTTTCCCATCGAAAATTTATATCCTATTAATACCCAAAATACACTTTCGGTGCGTTTGGTTTGTTATTTTGGATAGGATTTTGAAAATAATATTGGGTGCGTTTAGTTTAGTATTTTGGATAGGATTTTGGGGATAGTATTGGGTTATTAAATAGGGGAGTATTACGAGGTAAATTTTAAAAATTTATGAAAAAGCCCTTAGGTTTACTAATTTAACTAAAGACCGTAACATATAAAATGACAAAAACACCCCTACCACCTGCAGTGTCAGATTCCGGTCACCACCGCCGAAATCTGGCCGAAAAATTTCGTTACAGCACAGACCGGTCGGATCTGTGCCGTAACACGTCGTTATGGCCTTTTCCGGCCAGATCCATGGTGGATCTGGCCGAAAAAGGCTAGATCTACGGTCTGTTATGGCCGTCGAAGGCCGGAAAAGGCCAAACGACGGCCACGACGGCCAAAGATGTGGTCGTCGTTGACCGTCAACGACGGCCATTTCTTTGGCCGTCGCTGACGGCCAGATCTGGCCTTTTCCGGCCACATCCGTGGTGGATCTGGCCGGAAAAGGCCACATCGGTGAACTTCCGGCCATTTCTGGTCGGAAGTTAGGCCGTTGTACAGATTCCGGCTATCACCAACGGTGGTTGCCGGAATCTGACAAGTTGGGTTGATGGGGGTGTTTTTGTTAATTTTTAAACTTTTTTTTCAGGGGGTTTTTAGTGAAATTAATAACCTTATGGGGTTTAAATGTAATTAAAAAAAATAGGATAATATTTCTGGAATACTGTGCCAAACATTATTTGGAGAATAGGATCCAGAATACGGATAAAAATATTAAGCCAAACATGCAGATTAGATAGTTGAATAGGGTGATTATTACGAGATAAAATTTAAAAATTAACAAAAAAAAAAATCCTTAGGTTTGCTAATTTAACTAAACACCCCAATATATAAAAATATTGTAAAATGACAAAAACACCCCCATCCACCCACAGTGCCAGATTTCGACCACCACCGCCCGAATCTGGTCGAAATCTGGCGTTACGATGTAGACCGATCGAATCTGGCCGGACGTGATCTGGCCGGAAAAGGCCAGATTGACAGTTAGATCTGGCCGTCAACGATTGCAAAATGCCAGATTTGGCCGTTAATGATTGCAAAATGCCAAATCTGGCCATCAACAGTCGCAAAAGACCAGATCTGACCATCAGCGCCGACCAAAGATACGGCCATCGTTGACTTTGGCCGTCACTAACGGCCAGATCTGGCCTTTTTCGGCTAGATCCACAGTGAATCTGACCAAAAAAAGCCAGATCGATGAATTACCAGCCAATTCCTATCGTTTGTAGGCCGTTGTGACAGATTCCGACTACCACCAATGGTGGTTGCCGAAATCTAACAACTATGGGTGGGTGGAGGTGTTTTTGTTAATTTTTAAACTTTTTTTCTAGGGGTACTTAATAAAATTAATAAACGTAAAGGGTCTAAAAGTAATTAAAAAAATATAATAGTATTTCCTAAATAATTAAACAAACAAATATTTTGAGAATAGGGTATAAAATAATAAACCAAACGCACCCTTTACTTTCTCAACCGACATTCAACGAATTACCAAGAGCTAAGATAAGAGAGGTTTTATAGAGTAGAGGCCGGTGGATCTAATGCTCATTAAATATTTGCCGCTAGAATCAATCGAAAATCAGATAAGAACAGGAAATTTAAACATTGTGATAACTGACAATTAACGAGAAATCAAGTGTCGAAGTGAGAAGGCTTTTGTAGAGAGGATATTGGAGATTCAAATGGTGGTGACGAAGAAAATTTTTACCGTCAGAATCGACTGGAATCGACTTTAGATAGTAACAGAATATTAACTTTGGGTGAAAAATTGGTATTTTGAAACTTTTTGGGTAGAAAAGTGTCATTAAGGCAAACCTTGGGTGGGAAAAAGGCGTTTACTCTTCATAATAATATACTTTGTCCTTAATATCACAAACTATAAACTTGTACCATAAAAAGAAATTTGTTTTAAATAGTAATTTCCCCCTCCTTAATATTATGAATCATACTAAATCAAGCAATGATCAAAGCTAGTTGGCTTAAACAACTTGGTCAATTACAATTACATTTATTTATTTTTGCATATCCTGAAAACAAGCAAATAACAGAGCAATATTTTAGTAAAATTAGCATTATCCTTAAAAAGGAAAAAAAAAGGGGCAAGAAGTATACAGTTTGCACCATGTTTCATCTGCATACATTTCTGATTTCACAAAGGTAAAAACAAAAAATAATAAAAGCAGAGATTAAAGACATAAATCCTCAAAATTTTCTGTGTAATGTCAAGTGCTAAAACTAGTTCTGTTACCCAGTTCAAAGAAAAACTAATACTACGAAGAGTAATCATCAGGATCAGTTACAGATAAAAAACAAATATATATATATATATATANGGTTGCGGTCCTCCTGCAGAGAGGACAAAATAGCAACCCGCGGGCCGGCGGGTTGCCTTTTTGCAACTCGACCCGCCCGGGGGTTGCTGGCGGGTTGGGCTTAATGGCGGGCCAGGCTCAACCCTCTTTTTACCGGGCCGGGTTAGGGTTGACCCGCCTAACCCGGCCCATTTTTTCCACCTCTAGTCATAAACATATATGTTATATACTGTTAATTTCAGGCAGAGTACTTGAGCTTTAGTCTAAACTTCCTTAAAAACTCTTTGTCCTTATATATCAAACATTATAGTCTTTTTTTTATTTTATTTTTTTATATCCAAAAGTGTCCAAACCAGCTTGCAAACACCTCAACTAATCCTTCGAGACTCTGAAGTTAACAACCAAGTAAGTCTCCAATAATTATACCTTATTAGTAATCGTAGAGATTCAAGCTTAAGATCTCTTGTATAGCACACCCAAGAATCCAAAGGGAACAGCCAAACTGCTGAAGGTAGTTCACAAACTATAGTCCTATTCCATAATAAGAGTAAACAACTTTTTCCCACCCAAGGTTTGCCTTAATGACACTTTCCCACTAATAAAGTTTTAAAATACCACTTTCTCATCCAAAATTTATATCCTATTAATACTCAAAATATACTTTACTTTCTCAACCGACATTCAGAGAATTACCAAGAGCCAAGGTAAGAGAGATTTTATAGAGTGGAGGGCTATGGATCTAATGCTGGTCACCGATTAAATATTTGCCGATAAAGATAAGAAATTTTAACTTTGTGATGACCGACAATTGAGGAAAAATCAAGTGTCGAAATGAGAAAGCTTTTGTAGGGAGGATATTGGAGAATCAAATGGTAGCGACGAAGAAAATTTTTACCGTTTGAATCGACTAGAATCGACTTTGGGTAGTAACAGAATATTAACTTTGGGTGGAAATTTGATATTTTGAAACTTTTTGGGTGAAAAAGTGTCATTAAGGCAAACTTGGATGGGAAAAAGTCGTTTACTCTCCATGATGATGTACTTTGTCCTTAATATCACAAACTATAAGCTTGTCCCATAAAAAGAAATTTGTTTTAAATAGTAATTTCCCCCTCCTTGATATTATGAATCATACTAAATCAAGCAATGATCAAAGCTAGTTGGCTTAAACAACTTGGTCAATTACAATTACATTTATGTATTTTTGCATATCCTGAAAACAAGCAAATGACAGAGCAATATTTTAGTAAAATTAGCATTATCCTTAAAAAGGAAAAAAAAGGAGCAAGAAGTATACAGTTTGCACCATGTTTCATCTGCATACATTTCTGATTTCACAAAAGTAAAAACAAAAAATAATAAAAGCAGAGATTAAAGACATAAATCCTCAAAATTTTCTGTGTAATGTCAAGTGCTAAAACTAGTTCTGTTACCCAGTTCAAAGAAAAACTAATACTACGAAGAGTAATCATCAGGATCAGTTACAGATAAAAAACAAATATATATATATATATATATATATATATATAAAGGAGACACCACTCATGGTGCGACTTTAAAAAAGAATCTATTTATCAAAGGCTTTCATAACAAATATACTGCCACAAATTGACTAGTTGGTTATTATAAGATTATCCTTTTTCTCTGTCAAAATAGTCTTGTGCAAGACTAGCAAGTTTATTTGAGACTATTGACTTTTAATATCATGCACTCTAATCACTAGAACCATGAGATTTCCACAATCAAACAATTAATTTACTAAATACTAAAACCATCCCTAAAATTATGCGTTGATGAGTCTAATCATCCGATTCCTTGCTTAAGTTGACAATAGCACCATCTACAAATACCCTTCCACTACAATCCTTTCACTCAAAGGCCAACATAATATGGACAAAATATAATAATGCCCTCAAAACAAGCAATTCGCATAAACCCCATCTTAGTAGAACACCAAACCATAAAACCCAATAATGATCAGACTAAATGAAACTGTAAAAACACAAAAAAGAACGGCAACAATAACCAAAATAATCAAACATCTCATTTGATATTGTATGGACAAAGTTAAGTGCCTCCAAAAACATGCAACCAATATAACTGAAACTGGACACAAGTATCAGTAGTCTAACAAAGTAATAAAACTCTCATTCTCAAAGCAAAGAGCAAAAAGCAGAGCCCATATGAACTCAAGCACTGCATATCCTCCCAATCTCAAACGAAAGAAAACTATCAATGCAAGCATACTGAACCTGAGCAGCCGTCAGCCACGGATTATCCCACCGACTCATCGTCACGCTTCTCGGCTTCACAATATCCTTCCCCAAAATGGCCCACGCCAAACCCTTCAACCCCGTGTTTCTCAGCCCTCGATTTCCTGTATTTTCAGCAGCCCAATCCCTCAAATCAAACACATTCTCCACCTTCAGGCCGTAGTCATCGTACAACTTCTCCACGTCCTTTTGGATCCCCACTCCCACAAACGTGTACTCATCATTGGCGAGAAAGTTCACGAGGCTCAGAGGGATGCTCGGTGCTCGTATGAGCTGAAAAATGAGGCACCTGTGGCCCACGCAGAGCTGGAGAGTGGCGATAGGGTTTTCCTGGTAACGGCGGAAGTTAGGGCGCCACTCAACGTCGAGGCCGACGATGAGACGGTGGAGCCTGCGGCGGTGGATGCGGTGGATGTCGGAGATCCAGGAGTCGACCATGGCGGGAGAGTGGGTGACGAGAGTGAGGATTTCATCGTCGTAAAACGTCACGTCGTAGGAGTTGTGAGTGTAGTCGGGGAGCTGATGGTCGTAAATTCCGATCGTCATTGCGGTGTCGTTAGGGATTTGAAATTTAAAATGAAGAAGACGAGACGATGAAGAGACGAAAAGAGAGTGGGACTGCGGACAGTGAGGCATTTTAAGGTTAATGCATAGAGAGAGTAAACGTGGCGGTGCGTGATTGGTGGGAAGATTACTTATGGAGCAAGCAAGCTTTGTCTTTCCCCTTCTAGTGCAAGTTTCTTTTGATGACTCAGCATGGGTGTTCCCGCTATTTTCAGATATTTTCCGTTGGACTATGTGGGCTTTTATCGGCCCTTAAGCTTTGTTATGGAATGTAATTTTTGTAATATAATTATATTGATTTTAAATGAGAGTTTTTGAAGAGCTGTATCCAGATTATAAGGTAAATTCTTTAATTTGGAGTTTAATGGAAATAATGCAATTCAATTTGTTGTTACCGAAATTCACAGCAACCAAAGATATCCAATCGATCTTGGTGGACTAGATAAGATGTACGTCTGATTATAAATAATCAACTTGGAATTGATTAGAAAATCCATAATAAATATAAAAAAAAAAAAAAACTTTTAAAGTGATCCAACAGATTAGAACCAAGCCTACATCTATAATTATCTTATTGCTTATATATGGATTACACAAGATAATAATGAGGAAAAAACCCTAAATGGCGAGCTGATACTCTTTGTAAATGGCTTCCTATTCCTTAGCTTGAGTTTATTTTTTAAAACTTCCTAAAATGGTGTCCTCCTTTTTATATGCACTATCTAACAATACTTAAGAGTTGGTATTACAAGATAGATTATATGCATAATCTCTCGTAATCTAGATTTGAGTTAGCCTTCACCATACTTAAGTCAGAATGCCTATGTTTGAACCTGATAAACTTATTAGTTAAATCATATGTTACAGGAGCGACATATAAGGCAGGTTTGATCGTGAGATCTTTGTATGGTTTAAAGACAGATGCTCAGATATGACCTCTGTATGGAAAATCATGTTCAACACAATTGATAAAAGGATATCTTTCAATCAAAATATTTAATTAAAATTATGAGTCTTATCACAATTTGCAATATAGTGAAAGCTTACGTGATACCAAGAGTGTCCATGTAAAAACATCGGATACCAATATTCTCCGTAGGTCCATTTATGTCTGTGGCGTGCATCTTATCCATTGACTTTGTATGACATATCAACATGTGCAAGTGTAAATGTATCTTAATATGTTAACATATTTAATTACATTATTTATATTATCACAAATATATACTAATTTTTTAAACAAATTTGGCCTAAAATTATAATTTCCGTAATTGCTTTGACACCCTTGAGTTTTGGGGTAACTACACCACGCATGTCGAAATGCTGGTTTCAGAAGCCACAAATACATTAATTATACACCCCAATAATTAATGGGAGAATTTGAAAACCACAACTGAGCTCTAATGCCATCCAATTCTGTTAATTTGCAAGTTGAAATTTAGATAAAATTACTCTTTTGTCCTCACTTTCATTATTTTCAAAATTGTTTTTGCTATTTCCAAGATTCAAACCGAACACTTCTAAGTATTCAATTGAAAATTGTAACCAAAGTATATAACTTAATTTGGCTAAAATAGTTGTTTAGTGATGAATCCTATAGGGAGATATAACCCACGTTTATTTCACTCTTTTGAATCGTTTATTATCATATTTAGATTAAAAAACAGAATATATAGGGTGCGTTTGGTTTATTATTTTAGATAGGATTTTAGGGATAGTATTGGATAATTGAATATGAGAGTATTACGAAGTAAAATTTAAAAATTTATAAAAAAAACCCCCTAAGTTTGCTAATTTAATAAATACTCCAACATGTAAAATGACAAAAATACCCCCACCACCTGCAGTGCCAAATTTCGACCACCGCCGCCAGAATCTGGCCGAAAAATCGCGTTACGACACAGACCGGTCGGATCTGTGTCGTAACGTGTCGTTATGGCCTTTTCCGACCAGATCCACCACGGATCTGACCGAAAAAGGCCAGATCTAAGGCCTGATGTGGTCGTCGATGGCCGAAAAAGGCCAAAACGACGGCCAAAGATATGGCCGTCGTTTTTGGTCAACGATGGCCAAGATTTGGCCGTCGTTCACGGCCAGATCTGGCCTTTTTCGACCAGATTCGTGGTGGATCTGGTCGGAAAAGGCCAGATCAGTGAACTTCCGGCCATTTATGGTCGTCAGGTAGACTGTTGTACAGATTCCGGCTACCACCGAGGGTGGTTGCAGGAATCTGGCAAGTATGGGTTGCGGGGGTGTTTTTGATAATTTTTAAACTTTTTTTTCAAGGTGTATTTGATGAAATTAATAACCTTATGGGGTCTAAAAGTAATTAAAAAAATAGGGTAATATTTCTGGAATAATGTGCCAAACATTATTTGGAGAATAGGATTGAGAATATGGATAAAAATAATAAGCCAAACATGGCCTATTTCTTTATTTATTGGGATCATTATTATAAAAGTTAATCTGAATTAAATAAGATTTTTTTATCTAAAAATGAAAAACGAGGAGACTTGTTTTCTATTATTCTATTATATTAAACTCTAAACATTTTTCCAATTCTATTCAACTAAAAATAATTACCTTTCACTCATTCAAATCTGACAATTAATCCATTCAAGACCACCACCGCTTGCCAGCAACCATTGCCGACCGTTGGCCACCATGGTTGAAACGCGCACGACCGACTGAATCTGGCTTGTCATACGTTGATCTAGTCGTTGACAATGGCCAAAAATCTTATCGTAGATCTAGTCGAAAACGGCCATAATACACAACTAGCCAAATCCAGCCAATCGTGCGCCTTTCTGACAACTGTTGGCTATCCTCTTGGGTGGCTAGGGTACTTTAGTTAATTTTTAAATTTTTGTTGAGGAGGTATTTAGCTAAATTAATAAATATAGGGAGTTAAAACAATCTAAATATTTTAAGAAAATGTTAACAAAAAATGTACCAAACAACTATTCAATATTTTATCCAATTATGGTATAAGTTTCAAATATTATATCAAACACATTCTTACGATCTTATCCTATTCGATTTAATCAAACTGAACTCAAGTTAAATCATTTTTGCATAATAACATTTTTCAAATAATCTACCAAATAGGCCATGGTGAGAGTGGGTGTTAGTGATAGAGTGGTTTTTGACTATTTCAAAATGTGAGGGGTAGTTTCGAAATTCTTCTTTTATTAAAAAAAAAAAAAAAAAAGTAGATTAATTTTGAATGAAATGACAATTATAATGGAAAGAAGACTGAAAATGGGATGCTATTGAGTCATGAGTGGAAGAGAACAAAAATGAACCAAAATTGGAAAATACCCAACTCATCTTTGATCTAAATTTAAAAGTAGGAGTTATAAGGAGTTATTGGTAATTTCATAGGCAGCATATTAACAGCAATAGTGGCGGCCTAGAAAGAAAATCACTTTCTCACCATCTCCAAAAATGGCAGAAAACAACTCAGATCAAAATCAAACCTCTAAATCAAACCCACCACCACCAGCATCCACTTTCTCCTGCAAGAAACCCAACGAAGAAGAAGAAGAAGAAGAAGAAGACACTGATTCTGATAAACCTCCGAGCTCTAAAAGAAGAAGAAGAAGCTGCGCCCTAACAAGTCTACAGAAACTCCCAGAATTGTCATCTTCGAATCCCAATTTCTCATTCACTTTTGACACCAAACTCTCGACCTCAGTTCCAGAGTTCACACCCAAGTTCGGATCTTTCAGTAACTTTGCGGAATCGGCATCTTCAACTAGGGACAAGGATGAGAATAAACAAGGAACTGAACGAATTGAAGAAGAAGGAGAAAGTGGGGTTAAAAACGTTAGCGTTGTGACAGTTAGTAGTGCATCATCATCAATAGTGAAAGATTGAAAATTGTAAATGTAATTTGGCAGTGGATATGATTCTATGAAATAAGAATGGAAATTATTATTTTAATTGTTCTTGTTCATCTTCATTGTTTAGTTGAATGAGTGGAGGGGGAAGTGAGGTGGGGCCTTGGCTTACTCAGTTGCACGTGCGGCTCTGGATTTTAATGTACGACTTTGTTTAAAATATGTATATGTTAATAATTAGCGAGTGGCCTTAGTACAACACAAGGACTATAATGAGTTTGTTTGATTAAAAGTTAAAACTGTAACAATTTTGAACCATATATGTTTCATTTTTTTTCATACTTGTTTCAGCTAAATAAAGAGTAAAATACTTTTCCCACCCAAGGTTTGGCCTAATGACCCTTTCCCATCCGTCAAGTTTCAAAATGACACTTTATTACCTATGTTAAGATTTATCCATCAAGTTTAACTATAGTAAATTCAAAAAACAGTTAAGGGGTAATTATGCCATTTTATCCCTTATATATAAACCTTAAATCCTCTCAAACGGCTACAATGCTGTCGCCAATGCATCGATCGTTTCAAGTTGATTTCAGCTCGTTTCCTCACCAAAACTAAGGGAGATCTTCACTTCTTCATCCTTTAAGCCTTATACCAACTAATTATCCAAGATTTGGCCGGAATTAAGCCGTTTACCACGGAAAAAACCCAACCCTTGAGTTGCCAATCCAAGCCAAATCGGCATGTTTCCAATGTCGTTGACCTCCCTCAATTCCACCAAAATACTCCCCTCACCTCCCTAATCAAAACCCCTACCACCCCACACTTGTTTAGCCTGTTGTTCATTGGTCACTGCACTTGGCTTGTTTCGCACACTCAAGCTTTTCCGATCGATCTCGTCATCGAAAACCAGCCTTGACACCACTGAACGCACCATCGACACTTCCTCTTCAAAACCTCCCAACAAACCTGATCCTGTTTGCTCGCCAAACGTCACCAATCATTGCCTCCTTATCTAGGGTTTTTTGCTTGATTGATGATTTGGGTGTAATTGTTTGAAGTTGTTTTGTTGGAAATCAACTAGTGAAGTTGGTTTAGAAGTGCTTGTGGTTGTGTGTGATTGTTTTTCCATTTGTCGGATTAGAAGTGTTTGTGGTTGTGTAGGAATGTTTTCCCAATCGCTAGAATCAGAGGTGGCGAAAGAGAAGAAAAGAGGAGAATAAGGGAGAAGGGTGTTTTTGTCTTTACACTGTTTTTTATCAAGTTACATAACGGATTTTCCTAAGGGAAAATAACGGTGGGTGGGAAAAGTGTCGTTTTGAAATTTAACAGGTAAGAAAATTGTCATTTGGAAACTTGACAGTAGAGAAAGTGTCATTAGGCCAAACCTTGGGTGGGAAATGTCATTTACTCTTAAATAAATCATTATCTCATCATATATTCGTATTATGAAAATGAAAAAAAAATAATATATATATATTATATATATATATATATATATATTATATATATATAATATATATATATATAATATATATATATATAATCTTATTGTATTATTCTGTGATTAAATAAATTCTGAAAATATACCTGGGAACCCTTTACAAAGGATTATGTGGTAAACTCCATCTTTTAAATTACAAAGAAATTATATTTTAAATTGAGTATTTTAAGAGAGATATGTGTTTCTTCCAAATTATTATTTAATTAATTAAATTATATTAAGCTATATAAATGGTTTTCTATTATTTTTTCTTTCATAAAATTTTGGTACCTTAATTGATAATATTCTTGGGATTAATTGGTTAAAGAAAAGTTGGAGAGAGGGGGAGGGGGGTGTGTCTCCTAGTTGTGCATATTTAGTGAATTTTTCTCATACAGTTTGATTAAAACATATATGTTGAACAAAATAACTAAACAAATGAAAGACTCTATCAACATGCGATTCTCCAATCTCTCACCTCCACTCCACTCACAAACAAAATCGTCTTAAGTCTTAAGATTGCAGGAGAAGAAAGAATCCGATTCTGTTCCCAATCTGTTGGACACAACCTCTTTGCTCTAAGCATCCAGAGTCCATCTCTACTCTTTACTTGACTGCCAACAAAGGAAAGACAAGCTCATATAACTTGATTATAAGTCGAATCAAGATTTGACAACCTTTTTACTCGAGGACAAAAAAAAAAAAAAAAAAAAAAAAAAAAAAAAAAAAATATATATATATATATATATATAAACAATTCTAAGCTTGATAGTTGATATGCAAGAAACGTTTTAGCTCTCTATGTCACACTTAATATCCCTAATCTAAAATCCAACTTTGTAAATTACATCTCAGGTTCAAGTCCTTGCCAGAAATTCATCATGTGGTGACAGTATAGTTCCAGTTATCTCGGTTCAGCAGTCACAGCAGGTTTCAGATCATCATTCTCCAATGGAGCAAGCGAGACCTGTTAAAAGAAAAACATTGCTTGATGAAGCATTTAACCTCTTTAATTGAAAAATAGAGAATTGCTGCTCATGCAGGTTCTCACATTCATAAAGAAAAAAGAAACCTCAAAACCAGAGTAACAAAAGGAAAGAGTTTGCTGAACAAATCTGTATAGAGACCTAAGTTCTGCTGATAAAATATGCAATTGTCTCTATTAAAACATTTCACTCCAATTCACAAATACATTAAGAACCTCCAAATTAAAGATTATTCAGAAAATTTATAACAATCTGCAGAAACACTGGAACAATACATTTATCTGAAAGAATGTCATTTATCATTACTCCATTTAAAGATCTTCCAAGGTAGAAAGTATAACCTGGAGTGCCAAGCGCAGCAGGACCAACCCTCTTAAGTGTTACTAACATTTTGATGACATGACTTCTCACCTGAATTGGAGGAATATGCAGCAACATTCTGACGACATGACTCATGTATTTGCATCTTCTTCTCAGTAACTGTGTGTAATTAACATCCTGCGCAACATAATAAGTTGTATGCATTGTGGCAATGCTCCACTTAAACTCTCTTTAAATAAAAGAATCTGTGCCTACCAGTAATTACCACAGGAGCATTCACCATCCCTGAAATGATGAAATCTTTTCCCATCTCTTACAACTATCTCTCTTGCAGCCACTTTCGATATGAACTTGAATGCATTGTGACAGTCCCCACAAATCCTAAGGTTCTTGAAAATCCTAATTGTGGCTCCACGGGGAAGTTTCATGAGTCCATATGCAACTGCAAGCTTCTCACTATGAGTAGACAAGGCATACTCCTTTTGATCGGATTCCATATCATGCAACACAAACTTTGTGTCAGGGACATACCCTAATTTTCTCATCTCCATTCCCAGTTGCTCAAGATATTTGTAAACTGCTTGCACCTCAGGATGCACAGTGTCATCAACCAAAAATACATGGACGTTATTTTCAACCTCAATCCAACTACAAGCAGGCTCCTTCTTTATTCCTCTATCCCTCATTAATTTTCGCACTTTAGCCACATCATCCCATTTCCGCAAAGTGGCATACATATTTGACAAAAGTACATACGTTCCATCATGTTGCGGCATAAGCTCAAAAAGTTGTTCAGCAGCTTGAATCCCCAAATCCATGTTTCCATGAATACGACAACCAGCAAGAAGAGCCTCCCAAATTGGGGCACCACGTTTGAATGGCATTCTTTCAATCACATCCTTTGCTTCTGAGAATTTTCCAGCTCGACACAACAAATCAATAAAACGGGCATAATGATCTTCACCAGGAGTTATACCATAAAGGCTATACATTGAATCAAAATAATGGCATCCTTCTTTGACTAAACCTGCATGGCTACAAGCAGAGAGAATTGTAAGGAAAGTTATTCGATCTGGTAATATACCTTCTTTCAACATTTGTTCATAAAATTCTATTGCTTGAACACCATGTCCATGTTGCCCTAGAGCTGCAATCATAGCATTCCAAGATATTGAGTCCACAAAAGGCATTGTTCTGAACAAACAGCTGGCAGCCTCAACAAGGCCACACCTTGCATACATGGTTATCAGTGCATTTCCTGCAGAAAGGCTTGACTCATACCCAAACCGAACAAGTTGAGCATGGAGCTGGCGTCCATTCTCCAATGCTCCAAGTACAGCACTAGAAGTAATTGCTCCTGCAAATGCATAATCACATGGTTCACAACCCTCTAATCTCATCTGGCTAAATAGCTTCAAACCGTCTTCCCCAAGCCCATTTTGTGCTAATCCTGAAATCATCACAGTCCATGTCAGAAGATTCTTCTCCTTCATTTCCCCAAAAAATGATTTAGCTTCATCAATACGACCAACACTCACATAAGCTGATAAAATTCCATTCCATGAAACTAGGTCCTTCACTGGCATCTGATTAAAAATATCTCTAGCCTTGTCAACTTTGCCACATTTCCAGTACAATGTAACTAGTGCATTATTCACCGGCAATGAAAATTCTTGTGTAGGCTTCGCCTCCATTTTCAAAAAGTAAGCATGCACCTCCTTTCCGAGCCGTAACAATCCAGCATTAGAACAAGCACTAATAACACTTGTGTACGTAAACTCATCCAGCTGAATTCCCAGTGAAAGCATCTTCCTGAATATTTCTAATGCTTCTTGATAATATTCCTGATGCACATAACCAGACATCATTGCATTCCAAGCGACGCCCACTTTTTCACTCATCCTGTCTAGAAACTCACGGGCTGCATCAAGATCACCATTCTTCACATACCCGGTAATCATCGTGGTCCACGACAACTCATCTCTCTCAGGCATCTCGTCATATACTTTCCTGGCCATACTCATCAATGAAACTGATGAAACAAATGGTGAAGACGCACATTTAACATAAACAGATACAAGTGCATTCAATACAGAAGTAAAAAGGCCAGCTCCCGACTTCACAACCGCAGAGTGCATTTGCATACACCCATATTCCTCATCAGCAATAAGCCCCAAGGCACTAAGAACACTGGTAAAAGTAAAATTATCTGGCCTGAAATCATCACGCATCATATCACGAAACAATTCAATAGCGGCAAGACCATCATTATTATGAGAATATGCCGTGATCATCGCATTATAAAAAACGGTGTCGCGTAAGTTTAATGGGGTTTTGCTAAATATTTCACGGCACATGTTTAGATTCCCCGAAGCAGAATATGCAGTAATTAACGTCGTTCTAGAGACGACGTCTTGTTGGGGAATTTCGTCGAACAGTCGACGAGCGTTGATAAGTTTTGATGATTTGCAGTAGATATCGATCAGACGGTTGAGTATATGGCCATGTGGCTTGAAGCCATAGCATATCATGTGGGCATGGACAGTACGAGCAATAGAAAAGGACAAGGGGTTTCGAGCGTCACAGAGTTGCAATTGGAATGCATAACGATTTGCGATTGTTCGAATGAGAACAACATTTTTCATGGTTATGAAGTCTCTGTTCTTCACACAGAGAAAGACGTTGTAACCAAACCTCAAACTCAAAAAACGTTAAGACACCAGCACTAATACCAGCAACATTCTCCAACAAAAGGAAATCCCGCGAAGAAAAAGACCCGATATGGAAAAAAAAATACAGCTCCGGAGTTCAAAGGACGAAAGACCTGGAGCCTATGAACTCGAGAGAAAGTGAAAGCAATATCAAATGTCGACTTCGCTTTTAGTTTTGAAGCCAATTTTTTTGTCCTCTGCTGCACTATTCCTACTCAGTTAAATACTCTAGTGGACTCAGCACACTTCATGATGCATGAAAACTGTGAAACTGTGAGGTTTTTTATGAACACCTCTGAGATTTAGTGAACGACAGAGATCCACAGGTTTGGGAATAAAACACTTACACCCTTATAATTGGTAGACATTTGTAAAACGCTAATGCTAGATATACAAACAAATCTTACAAAACTTTGTGTATTAACTGATGTGACACAAAATGAATAAAAGAGTGAATGCAAAAAATCAAACTCATCATATTTACTCTTCTTTTTATTTTCCGCCACATCAGTCTGACACAGATTTGTAAAACAATAATGTTAGGTATATAAACAAATCTTACAAAGATTTGTGTACAAACTGATATGACACAAAATAAATAAAACAGTTAATGTAAAAAATCAAACTCATCATATTCACTATTCCTTTCATTTTCCGGCACATTAGTCTGACATAGTATTTTTAGATACAATGATCGATATCTCTTATTTTGTCTTTATTTCGAGCAAACGACTTTTTCCCACCAAGATAATGACTTCATGACACTCTCACCTATAGACTTTTAAAATATTACTTTATTACCTAAATTTGTATTCTGTTTTCGATTCTAGGATCGTTGCAACTCTACATCACCACCATTCTCTTCCTGGTCATCACTAACCAAAACCCCTCAAACCCTACTCCCACCAACCCTGCCAATCACCGGCAATTGAGCAATTATGGTTTGTGCAGTCACTTCTCCCAAGTCAAATTCAGATCGATTTTAACCACCAAAATTCAACCTTCCACCACCAAAAGACTCATCAGTCTTTTCTCTTCAAAAGCCCCAACAACTAATACCGAGTTTGCTCTCTGTTCGTTGCCAAAATATAAATTTGAGTAATAAAATGGTATTTTAAAAGTTTGTGAAGAAGGAAATGTCAATAAGTCATTATTTGGGGAAAAGGTCCTTATCTCCTGTACTTCTGCAATAGAAAGGAGTTAATATATGAGGTATGTTACTTGATGAAAATATTTCATATATTAAAATAATTTAAGAATATTAAAATCTGACATTTAATAAGACATTTGGGAAATAATTGATATTTTAGGAAAAACATTGGGCTCGATGGATACAACCAAATGCTACGCTAATAACATTGAGACTCTAAAGATCTGTACAAATTTGCAACAATTGGAATGAATTAATCTGTACAGAGACAATTGATAATCAAAATGATGCTACCGCATACAACATCAACATATTCTTATTAAGGAAATTTTTGTTGGATTACTTTGCTTGGCACTGCTGTATAGCAGGACCATATTTCTCCCATGTCCCATACCTTGAACCACTCTGCTCCGATCACCTGAGCATACTCCAAAAACACTGCACGAGCACAAGTATCCCAAGTCCTTGCTGTCTCACCAACCGAAATGGGCTTGAAGAGATTGCCGAGAGAGATGCTGAACCGGAACTTCGTCTTCTCTGATAGATCTACCCATTTTTTACTGTTAGAGCTGTGCATATACAGAGCAAAACTTTTGAATAAGACACTTAAAATCTTTATATCATGACGCTATTGATATTCCTTCATCCACATGTGTTCATTTATTTCAAAGAATATAAATGTGTATAAATATTTAATCACATGCGCTTGAGGATGTGTTCATGCATTGCAGATAAAACCACAACTATATTGAACATTTTGACTGCATAAAAGAGATCTATCAAGAAAATCCAAGACTTGAAGCTCTCACCTCCGGTCAGCACTCGAACCATCTAAGATTACAGGGGAGGAACAAGCAACCGTAAGGGAAGGACAGGCAACCGTATGCAGAAGAACACATTTATCAATCAAAAAATTTCAATCACAAATATTAAATGTCAGAAGGCATGTTAAAGTACAAATTCACTATCTGTGATGCATGCATCTTGAAATTTTCTTTGGGAGCTAAGTATTATAAGCACATTCGACAATTTTTCCCTCGTCAGCATGAAGGGCAGCAGTTCTTCAGTTGAATCCAAATCAATCACAGTTTTAACAACCGCTGATTTATGTATCTGATTTCATTCAGCAGAGCATTGTTGGGCTGCAATTAACCAATAAATTTAAGTACTGTACGAGAGAAGTGAATGAGGTAAGCTGAGATACACAAATTATCACAAATGAATAAGATTATAAGACAAAGGGTACAGTAAAAAGAAATGCCCTTGTAAAAATTCTGTAATGGGGTCAAACAAGGAGAAGAAAGTTAAATTGTTTGCCAATTCATCTATAGCAAATGAACAATAAAATATGAGTTACGGGAGCTCCTATGACGACGGAAAGCACAAACTAGTCTTATCTTTTAGTGAATACTTCATTTTCTGTACCACCAAGACATGGTATTCATTAATTAATAGAACTTGTGTTTATTACTCTTTCTGGTGGGTGTGTAAAATCATGACAACCTTCAATGGCATGCCTTTCAGTAGGCATTTAACTTTGTTATGAACAATGGGTCAGACAGACTAAGTTCTAACGGGACATAATGAGTGCTCTACCATTAAAGCACAGTTAAATAGAAAAAAAACATAGGAGACCAGTGAGTGAAGATGATAATGCCTCCGTGCGCGCGCCAGGGGGTGGGGTGGGGGAGGGGGGTGGTGTGTGTGGTTCATTCCACTTAATATTTTCTCTTCAACCTTTCTTCAGAAGAGCATCCTTATTGAACGTTGAAGCTCCTTGTGTTGTAAATGATGTAGTATTCTAGGTGCCAAAGTTCCAAAGTTGTTACAAGCTGTTCCAGCTATCGTATCAACTTTATTCATAACTGAGCCAATTTCACTGACAGATGCTCTTTATGCTTCAGGTGTTGGTGATTGTGCCTGGAAGAATATCTGCACTGTACGCCTCAGAATCCATCAAATTACACTTAATTCTAAAGAAAAGAGTACAACTATAGGGCAACATCTTCAATTACTGGTTGTATATTTTCCTGAGCTTGATTGAAAATACATGTTAAAACATAAAAAATGAAGTAATAGAGGCATGAACAATACATATTTCGTAGAAGAAAGCATAATGCTGTGCCTGTATATAGTCACTATCTCCAGCAAAAAACAATACAGAGTCGGGGACATTTACTGGTTCTAGCGCATAGAGCAAGAAAGAGGAGACAGTATACATACTGCTTTGAGTAAGCGCTCAAGCAAATGGCTTCTCTGTAGCAGTTGACTGCTGATTACCATCTACACTGTTTGATTCTGCACGAAAAAGGGATGCTGATTTACCAAGCAAAGTTGTAAGAAGGGATCGATTTAGAACTTCATTTGGGGCATAAACCTGGGTTGACAAAAAACTTGTTTTAGGGTGTCCCTTTTTTGGATTTGATAGTGCTGAGACAACAGATGTGTGCTTCCCATGTTCTGAGGGTTTTGAGAATGCAGTTAAGGGAGTAGAAAGAGAACCTACGCACCTTCTTATGATTTGGTCGGGGCAATATTTCCAAAGATATGGATCATCCCACACGTATTGCTTGGCGATCTTCTTCAGTTTGTCCTTGCTAGCACGCGACATGTTGGGTGGGGTTCTCTTGGTCACTATGTAATTTACTATATCTACATACCATGGTCCCAAGGATGTCATTGCAAGTAACTGTTCATCTGGAAAATCATCTTTCAATGGAAGAGCATCTTCTTGGTTTATCAACCTACTTAAATGGTCTGCTACAACATTCTCACTCCCTCTTTTGTCTTTGATTGTTAGGTTGAACTCTTGTAGCACTAGAATCCACCTTATAAGCCTTGGTTTAGCCTCCTTCTTCGTAAGCAAATACCTAAGAGCTGCATGGTCAGAAAAAACAGTAACTTTAGTGCCAATTAGATAGGAACGAAACTTTTCTAATGCAAAAATAACCACCAAAAGTTCTTTCTCAGTTGTGTAGTTAAGTTGAGCGTCATTCAATGTTCTTGAAGCATAATAAATGGTGTGTGGTAACTTTCCAACTCGTTGTCCTAACACGGCTCCAATGGCATAATCGCTTGCGTTGCACATCAACTCGAATGGAAGACTCCAATCGGGTGGCTGAATAATTGGGGCTGTGGTTAGGAGTTCTTTTAGTTTCTCAAACGTCTTTATACACTCTTCATCGAACTCAAACGCTACCTCTTTTTGTAACAAACAGCATAAGAGCCTTGTGATCTTAGAGAAATCCTTGATAAATCTCCTATAAAATCCTGCATGTCCAAGAAAAGAACGTACCTCTCTTACACAAGTGGGAGGTGGTAAGGAACGTACAAGATCTATTTTAGCTTTATCAACTTCAATCCCCCTAGATGAGATAATATGCCCTAAAACTATCACTTGATTTACCATAAAATGTCATTTTTCCCAATTTAAAACAAGATTAGTTTCTATGCATCTTTTAAGAACTAACGTCAAATTATCCAAACAATTATCAAATGAGTTGCCATAGACACTAAAATCTTCCATAAATACCTCTATAATGTTCTCTATGTAATCGGAGAAAATATTTACCATGCGCCTTTGAAAGGTGGCAGGTGCATTACAAAGGCCAAATGGCATGCGTCGATAAGCAAAAGTGCCAAAGGGGCATGTAAACGTCATCTTCTCTTAATCTTCCGGTGCAACCACAATTTGATTATAACCTGAAAATCCATCAAGAAAACAATAGTAAGAATGGCCTGCTAAACGTTCAAGCATTTGATCGATAAATGAAAGAGGAAAATGATCTTTGCGCATTGTGGCATTGAGCTTGCGGTAGTCTATGCACACTCGCCATCCCGTTTTAATGCGAGTGGGAACTAAGTCATTATCTTCATTCTTTACCACGGTTATTCTGGATTTCTTAGGAACTACTTGGACCGGACTAACCCATTTACTGTCTGAAATTGGGTAAATCACACCAACATCTAACAACTTGATTATTTCCTTCTTCACTACTTCCATCATTGGTGGATTCAACCGTCTTTGCGCTTCTCTTGTAGGCTTCAATCCTTCCTCTAACAATATGCGGTGCATGCACATGGAAGGACTTATTCCTTTAATGTCAACAATCGTCCAACTAATTGCCGTTTTGTACTCTCTCAACACACGAACAAGTTTCTCTTCTTGCACCTTTGAAAGGTTGGCCGCTACAATCATGGGCAATGTGTCTCCTTCTCCTAAGTATAAATACTTGAGATGACTTGGTAAAGGCTTAAGCTCCACGGCAGGGGCCTGCACAATGGAAGGTAAAAGTTTCTCATTAGATATGGGAAGAGAAATATAGGAGATTTCATACCTTGGATTTTTCTTTGGAAGCTCATCCAACATTGCTATAGTTTCATTTAGCTCTTCTCCTAACTCTACGTCTTCATTAAAACTTTGAGGTTCCTCAGTTGACAACCCATTCCATATTGCCACTTCCAATGGATCTTTACCCTTAAGCTTGAACATTTGTTGCATTAAAGAGTCAAGTACATCAATGGAAAAGCAATCATTGTCATCATTAGGATACCTCATTACATCAAAGATGTTAAATTGAATGACTTCCCCATCAAAATCCATTGTCAACGTCCCATTATGCACATCTATTTTCGTACGGGATGTTTTCATGAATGGTCTCCCCAAAAGCAATGGCGTGGTTTCACAGTTGTTTCATCTTTCATGTCAAGCACGTAGAAATCCACTGGAAAAACAAGCTCGTTTACCTGCACCAAAACATCTTCCACAACTCCCTTTGGATAGGCATTAGATCAATCAGAAAATTAAATAACTAAGCAGGTCTCTTTAAGAGTACCAAGATTTAAATCAAGATAAATTGAGTAAGGCATGACATTAATAGAAGCACCTAAGTCTAACATTGCTTTCTCAAACCTTGTGTTGCCTATGATGCATGGTATGGTGAAACTACCCGGATCTTTGCACTTTGTTGGAAGCTTCCTTTGCAAAACCGCTGAGACATTTTCTCCCACACTCACCACCTCGTTTCCCTTAAGTTTTCTCTTGTTGGTGCACAATTCTTTAAGAAATTTTGCATAACGCGGCACTTGCTTTATTGCATCCAACAAAGGAATGTTGACATGTACCTTTCTAAAAGCGTCCAAAATTTCTTGTTCATGTTCCTCCTTCTTTGATATGGCAAACCTGCTAGAAAAAGGCAAAGGAGGTTTGTAAGTATTAATAGGAACATTAGATTGTACCTTAGGTGGATGTTTTGCATTGGAAGAATTGGTTGGCGAATTTTCTGCACTTTTGGGTTGCTTTGTTCCACCTTGAATCAACTCATCTCCAACTTCTTTCTCATCATTTGGCTTCTTGTGAGTCTTCTCAAGTTGTCTACTACTTCTCAAAGTAATGGCACTAGCATTCTCCCTAGGGTTAACCAAAGGTTGGGAAGGAAGCTTTCCAGACCCATGCGCCTCTAATCTTCCAAGAGTAGTAGCCAATTGACTAACTTAGCTTTCCAAATTCTTGATTGACATTTTTGTTTCTTGTTGGAACTTGAGATTCTCTTGCTGAAATTGAAGAGAGCTAGTTGCTAAAGAGTTTACCAAGTCCTCCAAAGACTTACCTTGAGGTTGGGAAACATTTTGGGGTCTTGCTTGGTATAGTTGTGGAGCTCGTGGGTAAGGGAAACTAGGTGGATTATTAGTGATAGTAGCTTGTTGATTTCCTCCATAGCTAAGATTAGGGTGATCCTTCTATCCTGGATTATAGGTATTGGAAAATGAATCATACCTTTGCCTTTGTTGTCCTTGGTATCCTCCCATGGCATTTGCTTGTTCTGCATTTGGCTATTGACGAGTAGGACACATATCGGTAGGATGTCCCACATTGGAGCAAATTCCACATGCCTTCACTTGTCCAATTGCAATTTGTTGCACAAGTGGAGTCAAATTATTCAATTGTCGCTCAAGATTATTGGATATCCCTACTTCATTTACCTTCCTTGGTGGTGGATCGGATCGAGTACCAAATTGTTGAGAGTTTTCCGCCATGGTTGCAATTAAGTTCCTTGCTTCTGTAGGAGTTTTATCAACTAATGCTCCTCCACTTGCTGCATCTATCATGCTCCTCTCCATTGGCATCAATCCCTCATAAAAATATTGGAGAAGTAATTGCTCACTTATTTGATGATGCGGACAGCTAGCACACAATTTCTTAAACCTTTCCCAATATTCATATAAGTTTTCCCCATTGTATTGCCGAATCCCACAAATTTCTTTCCTAATGAGTGTGGCTTGAGATGCTGGAAAATACTTCTCCAGGAACAACCTCTTCATCTCATTCCAAGTAGTTATGGTCCTGGATGGTAGGTAATAAAGCCATTCCTTAGCACTATCTGCTAAAGAAAATGGGAACGCCTTTAACTTCACTTGTTCCTCCGTTGTTCCATTTGGTTTCATAGTTGAGCACACCACTTGGAACTCCTTAAGGTGCTTGTTTGGATCCTCTCCTGCTAAACCTCTGAAAATTGGTACAAGATGAATCATCCCAGATTTAAGCTCAAAAGCTCCCCCTGCCGTATCATTGTATCGAATGCATAAAGGTTGTTGGTCAACGGTTGGTGCAGCCATCTCTTTGAGAGTTAGATTAGCCATCCCCTCTTGATCAGAAAAATCAGAAGAATCACTTGTGAGTGGAAGATCGGTATATATTGCTTGATCGAGAGGTGATCTATGCAAAGGTTGTTTCGAATAAGTAATAGGTGGAATTAGATCAGAATGTGGATTCGATCTCAAATTGTATCGCGAGCTCATTCACCAAAAACACCTACAACTCAAAAACAAAGAACAAATAAGAATTGAAAAATAAACAAAAAGTAAACAAATAATTAAGTTAATGAAAATCCCCAGTGACACGGCGCCAAAAATTGATGCATGCAAATGCAACACCTAATTTTACCTCACTAAATTCTACTGCAAAGTCGTGTAGTAGCAAAGAGCAAGTAAGGGTCTTTTCCGCAGAGGATTTATGAACTTAATTAATTATCTACAATTCTTCGATTTTCGGCTCTCTACCTTGGAAACAAGCTTCATCGTGTGTTGTCCTGCTCCGGAACTCTCCTATCTTCTGAAATCCGCTCAATTCTGAGTCAAAACTATCCAATTTTGTCTTTATTCGCTCAAAAAGTCCATTTTAACCTGAAACACGAAAAGTAAAGAATTAAGCACCAATTCAGGTAAAAATGCACTAGAAAGTACCTGAAATCCGTCAAAAAGATTAAATAAAAACTGTATAATTTACGGATTATCATAATCACATAACCAAGAGGGATCAAAAGATAAAAAAAATGCGGATTTTATTGAACACAAGACATGTCTAGGGTTTTGAAATCACCCTCAATCACAAAAGAATTAGTTCTTCATGAATAAATATGAGAACTTCATTGTAATATTCATAACAAATAATAATAACAAAGAAGAAGAAAAACTTAGTGAAACTTGGTTGGATTAATGGAGTTGATGATGATCTCTTCCAATTCTTCTTCTCCAAGCCTTCTTTAATCTCCCTTTTTCTTCAGTTCTTGAATATCTTTGTTCTCTCCTTTTTAACTCTAAAAGAATTTCCCCAAAATAATGCTAAAAGACTTCTTTTTATATCCCACAAGGGTTAGGGTGTTTTTTTCCTTAATTCTAGTTGGTTTAGGGCTCTTAACCCTATTCTTCTACCTAAAAACAGATAATCAGTTTTTAACTTCCGTGACTGTGCCCTGGAACTATGCTGTGGCACAGTAGGTACTGGAGAAAGTGTGCAGCGGCACAGTAGCTACTGGTCTTCTTCCTGCATCATTCCACTATTCTTCAGAGATGGTGGTTTTTGAACTCAATAACGATGAAATTTTGAAAAGTGGTAAACATATGAAATGTAGCCCTGTGAATCAGAGTTCAAACAGTCCAAGAATCATATTAATACAAGTTCTAAAGCTCAAGATATTCTCAAAATACCGAGGCATGCTCAAGCTGGAACGTAATCTAGAATATTCTCTTTACTTCAACTTCCATAACTTCTTCAATTCAACTCTGATTCTCAATCCCTTTGTTTCCAGTCATCACAAATTCTCTCGCCAACATCATCTCTCATCCGAATATTATTTTTGAGCCTTATTCCCTGAAAACACAACAAAAATACCTGTGATCCCGGAAAGTGCGTTTATGAAACAATTAAGTTAATTCATGCGAATTAATCCTAATTTCCCACAAATGATCCTACAAACCACTAAGTATAAGTGTATTTTCAAGCACTTATCAGCTTCACAACCCCAAATCTTCAAATAAGACAAATTGGGCTTTCACCCACTCTATAGTTCATATGGAGTCTTATCTACATATTTCGATGGCGCACGGTTTAGTATATGGGTTGCAGTCTCTAGGGCATAACCGTAGAATGATGTGAGCAAATTAGTGAAACTCATCATGGACCTAACCATTTCAAGTAAGGTCCTATTCCTCCTTTCTGACACACCATTTTGTTGTGGTGTATATGAAAAACCATTAGGAGGTGGTGGAAAAATGATGGAAAGCATGTAAACAAGACATGCAAGCTATGATATGGATTATAGGATTCAAAACTTTAAATAAAGCATAAATTAACATTATACCTTCTCCTTAAAGCTGAGGTTTGATGAAGCCAAGATTCAAAGCTATAAACCCACCACACTTTAATACCACCTTGAGAGAAAGAGAGGGTGGCCGAACCTAAGAGAGAGCTTGTGTTTTTGTTTTGAGTGAACAATGAACAACTTGACCTAAAATGCAACCATTTGCATTTATATATACATAGGTCATTTTGTTATTCCTTCTTTTCAATTGTATGCCCTGATAAAATCTTATTCTAAAAGGAGCCCAAGCATTTATTAATTTTCCTTTGAATAATCAATATTATTCAAGGGCCCATGTAAACTACACTAGTTTACATAAACAACTTGTAAGTTTACCCTTTTGCCCTTTAACTATTAAAAGGTTATTTTAGTTCATCTCATTTATCTTAACGCTTTAAGATATAATGATTAAATACAATTAATTATTGATTGACCATTTTAACCTTTAAAATTTCACGAATAATTTTCTATGTAACAATTACCATAGAAATTATGTCATTACCCTCGAAGGTGCTAGCCGTCTTTGGATAATCATTTCTCTCTCTTATCCTTCTCTAACTTCTCAAGGCTATTGGTGTGACTATGTAGGTCCACCATGGATTAGCCGTGAGCCAGTTTTGGATGAATCCAGAAACCTGTCTGAAGGCCCAACAACTATGGTAAACATCTAGCAATGTGCCACAGTCCCTAAACCACAATGAAGAAATATTTCATCAAACCTTTTTCAGATCATATGTACCATGCAGGTAAAGTCCCTCCATTGAAATATCCTAATTGAGTACGGATTTATGGAACGTCAAAATCCTAAACTCAATCTTCTACCGAATTATCGATTAATATGTCTTGAACTTGTCATCACGAACTTACTTTCGCATGATTAATAATAGACTCTGGCCAGAGATTTTGATTTTCGAATTTATTGATGTTTGTCTAGGCACCCGGATCCAGATGGAGTAAGCGGTACTCTTGATTCTATATTTCTAAGTCAATGGATCCCGTCTTGACCGTCATTCATTTCCACATATGAACAACGCATGACCAAATAGGCTTTATCATACGAAACATGACTAGTCTCGTACTTATACACTGTATGAACCATACGCATCTGTATCGGATCCAACCACAATGTCTTAGGTCAAAGGACTACATCGTGCACTGATATAACCAAACGATAAATCATTAACTACATGTTTTTCCAAGTGATTTGTCATTATTCGGTCACGTTCGAAAAAACGTTCACCAACCACTAATCCATACTAATGCCCTATTGACATGACTGTCATCGTCATTCGTACTTATATGAACTCATGATATCTTTCGGAAGCATCTAGTATGCCTACTATGCAATATGGTTGCCCAAATTATATTGCTTCCGTATGGAACCTTTTGATAAATTCATTTACCAATTAAATGAATCATCTGGATAATTCATATGCATACTTTATTTAAATGCATGACTGAATAAGGGAAGCATTTATATATATGAATTGAAGAACTCTTTCTTTTATTATTTATGATATATTGATACAAGACAAAATGCTCTGAAACTGACAACACGAATGGTTTCTAGGGCATACACTAACATTTACTAACAGTATAAGAAGGAGTGAGTTGTGATACTATCCCACACTCCTTCAGGTATGTTTAACTCAACTTGTCATACTTGACATATTTGTTACCTTGAGAGTATTCATATTGTCTATTTCAAGAACATATAAAATTATTTTGAAATAGTTCCACAAAGAATATTATTTATACTAAAAGACAACAATCCATTACTAAAGAAATATTCTCACTTGTCTAAAATGGACATATAAGTATTATTTTAGGAAATTGAGGGAAAATCATAATAATCCATAAGTTCCAAATAACAATCCCGTAGGCAAAGTCAGACAATAAGATTTTACAACAAAATGCAGCATTATGTGCTCCATTTCCAACTAGTAGGTCCACATCTCCTCGACTGAGTAATGTACTTAGCCATAGTCTCTTCACATTGTTACAAATGTGAGAACCACATCTAGTGTCAAAGACCCAAGATGTAACAGGAGATAAGTCTCAATACACACCTTTAGAAGAAGAGGCTTTCTTCTTTTATTCTCTAGGAAGGCCTTGCAGTGTTTCCTTCAGTGGCCAGGCTTGCCATAGTAGAAGCAAACTATCTTTCCTACCTCTGTTGATGTCACCCCTAGACTAAAGAGCAACCTGAGGTTTGGACTTAGGTTTGGGTTTGGGTTTGGGTTTGGGTTTGGACTTAGCCTTACCTTTACCTTTGACCGCTCATCTACTAGTGTTAGCAGCAACTAACATCATTGGTTTAGACTTTTAATGTCTTGCTCTACTGTCTTTAAAAGGGTTAGGAGCTCAGGAAAAGTCTTCTCATTCATGTTTATATTATCTATGAGCTGAGAATCAGGTAAGGACTGCAAGACTAAGTCGATTGCCAAGTCATTGTCCAAACCATAACCTAAATTCTCAAGCCTTTCAATGTACCCAATCATTTTAAGTACATGAGGGCCAACTTTAGCACCCTTGACCAATTTGCACCTTAGCAGCTGTTTCAACACCTTGTACCTTTCATTATGTTGAAGGTATAAAATCATGGTAAAAGGATCCATGTTTTCATATTGCTTTTTGCAATTCAGGTGTTATTGACGCTAACTTAATGTTAGTATCATCCATATGTTTTGGCAAATATCTCACTGTTCTTAGGTGATGCCATCACCAGGCTTATGAGGTAAAGCCTGATTGATGGTATACCTTTTACTTTCAAACTCAAGTACAATCCGAAGATCTCTATACCAGTTTGAAAAATTACTACCATCCAGCCTGTGTTGATTATTGAATGCATTGTAAGGTTGTTGTTGCTCATATTAGGATTCTACAAGTGCAGAAATACAAGTTTTATCATCATGTTTATTATTATTATTTAATAAGGTCTTTTATTAAATAATTGCTCCCACTATTTTCCTCAAGCCAATAACCCTCACTATTAACTCGGGAAAGCCCGTTGGCTTTCGTAGTCGACTGATGTCCCATCTAGCCCATTTCAAACCTTCATTTTGGTGAATAAGACAAAATGGGTTGATTAGGTAGGCTAACAAACTTAATTCACACCAGTTGATAGCTCCAACTACCAACCTCAAATGTGAAAAAAGC